GTCTCCAGCGTGGTTTATATCCCGAAGACAGACGCAGTAGGTTCTTCCAAAACGTTGAAAAAACTGATCACTGTCACAAAAACCGTGTTTGTGCGGACTGAAAGAAAAATGGTGAGTGATTGAAACCCGCGGTTGGTAAGGGATTCCTGGATACATGTAGACGTAACCCACGTCTCCATCATCAGGGTCAGAGACACTGACCCTGATGATGGAGACAGAGAAAGTAACCGAAACGTCGGAGAGGATTTTATGACGACAGGTTACATCAAACTTTCGTTTTCAGAGACATGTCGCGTGTAACTGCACTTACAACAACGCATAATGTACTTACGTGGGATGTGAAAGTGGCACCTCCAGAACCAGTTCTGGTGGAATGTCGAAGTAGTCGGGGTCATGACCGTTAGCTGACAGAACTAGGGGCAGAATGTCCCACCTGCCTCTGGCGCTCTTCCAGCCAAGTTTAATGCACACCTGCGGTCAGAAATTCAGAAATCACGTAGTCTTTTTAAAACCCAAACACTTCAACGATCAATTAATCTTAATTTTGTACTTATCGGTTTCGTAAAAAATTTCACCCTAAACAGCTATCATTTACTTAAATAGCGTTAATCAACTAATCTTTGTAATGGTGAAGAGATGTGTTTTCTTCGCGGTTCGGTCTGAATTCTTAAATGCTATTTAGACGAGCTTCGACATTAAAGGGTTAAAGAAGACGTCCACCGTCGCGAAATAATACACGAGCATTCGGACTGAAAGTAATTCTTCAAACTACGACAGATATAAAGAGAGCTGACGTCACCTCAGTGAACTCCACGTTTCCTGGGTCCCCAGTAACGCTGCCGTCCGGGTTCTTGTAGCCCGCGTAGCTGAGCAGCTGTGGGTTCCACACCTTGAAGTCATGTCGCCCGTCCGTCCGCTGAGGGAACACCGTAATCGCTGACCTGAAACAGACGTCAATGTTACACAGTTGCGACGGCCGAACGTCGAGAGCTGAAGGGTAGAAACCCAGGTCCTCAGCCCCCACAATCCTATCTTGAGAATTTCTGTGGCTTCCGTATTGTCACCTGGAATAGCTTTTTAAAAAAATACCATCACACTATTTGTACAATCACTCTACATTCAGAAGCAATAGACCAAAATACGCAGTTGACAAGACGTAGTTAAATAAAACAAAAACAAGACGTAATGTATCTCATAGCAACGTCACGTCTTAGTGATTGGTACTCCTGTTTCGTATTCGGGAGGTATCGACGCGAGTACATACTATCCAGAGACTTTCGTGGTTTCACTCAGTCCACAAAACAAATACCGTGATAACACCTTAAATTAGACAATGGTCGCTTCCTTCCGGATCAATTTCAATACATCATTCACTCACTAATCATTCGCACACTCGTTACAGTAAACGTTGAATATCGCTGATTGGTTTATCCCTCATTACGTGACAATCACAGCTACGTCGCATTTTTATTATAGCTCAATAAACCTTTCGACTGTTCTGAATTGCTATAAGAGCACAGTAGTTGAATTTACAGAGTCCGAAAATGAAATCTCGGGGGCTGCAACAGGTTCGACGGACTTCGGGTACGGAATGGATTATTGGATTCCTCGCTCCACAGCTGTGTCGGAACACATCACTGGAACTTGTCCTACGGCTTCCTGAAGCGGAAACTTGTACGAATAATGTCATGCATATACAGCACGAAGATAATTGACGTGTCGTACAAAACGGAGGAATATCACGAAAACCATTTCATATCCTCACGACTTAACGAACATTCAGTGGGATACAAACGTAACGAGAAATTCCGTCATGAGTTCAACAAGTAATGACGGGGACCATGGAAATTGATCAGGTATCTACAAATCCTTACCACAAGTCAATTTACAATCACTCACACACACTAGACCAGCAAAAGAATACTGATATTCTATACAAACAATCAAAATATATACTAAATTTATAAATACGAACAGTTTCAGCTCTGCGGTTCGCCGTGCCCATGCGGCAACTTCTCCGACAGATCGGTTATGCGTATAAACAAGTCTGCAGGCGCTAACATACTTCAGTGGCCCATGTCTGAGGACGCGCCTCGTCACACGCATATCACGACAGAGACGTTACTTGAACAAGACCTTAGGACGTACCCCTGGGGAGCGGAATGATCATAATCTGTGTGTACGGAAGTGGTCGTGGTCTATTTTCAAGGCATTACGGTCAAACTTATGCTGCGGGAACAGAGTTAAAACATGAAAATACTGATGGACAAACGCTGCACTGAGCCAACTCTACCGAGAACGCGACACATTCAAACTGGAGATGGACTGACAGTCTTGAATTTGTACCTTCACAGGAAAAAAAGTGATGATCTTTCAATTATCTAACGACACAGTAAAAACAACTGACAGCAACAAATGTTGAATTAAGTAAACAGATACAGTCTACTTCAAATGGAAAAAACTTAATATCACTGATTCTTTTTAATTGCCGACTCCAATGGAAAAGACTGTTTGGGAGCTAATATAATCAATCACCTAGTCAAGAAATTCTTCGCCTTTTAAAGAAACCGAAGGGTCATTACCATCCGAAAATACCATAACAAATTATTTTTAAGATTATTTTTTAATATTATCGTCCCATTTACTCCTGGAATTTCCTAGCATTCTCCTCTTTTCAGCCGAACACTCCGCAGAGTGTGGACAGCGTTAAGGAAACGTCGCGCCTATAAATTGACTTATGCGATATTAATTCAGAAGCCAGACACAAATCAGTCTGAAGCTCGTGACATCGATTCAACAGGGAGGGAGGGGGGAGCTGTGATGCGACCTCCCGATTAAGCTCCAGCTAACTCTTGCTCGTGACACAACTTTCGTAAATCCCATCCCTTGAATTATCTCAGATTGTCGTAAGGAAGCTCAGAGCACTCGGAACCCAATGCAGCAGTAACCACGTGAATTATCGCCGATTCTTTAGTTGTGTATCGACGACTTTAAAGTACACACGTTGTACAGCGCCGGATGGAATTGTCATTTATGTCGCACAATAAATGACTCAACAGCAAATTGACAAAGAAGACGGAAACGCGTTGACAGACAAATTTACGTCACACATGTGATCTCTGTACTTACCTGATATTTCCCTTGTTCGTGCTGTACTTGACGTGGTTACACAAAGCTTCGAACATCCCACTCGTAGTTGTCACGTAGCGACAGTCAAATACCTGCAAGTTAAACAAATAAATACAAAATACGCCATTTAAATCGCAAACCAACAACAATCACGCACCGCGATACAAAAATTAAAATCAGAATCAGATCCACCTCGGGTAATGGACTCTGACAGCCTCCCAGTCATACTCAAATCAAGGTCACCCTTGTTGCTAGGCCTCTGCGTACTCCAGCTGAGCGAAAATGGTGTGCTCACGAGCATTCTAGAAGACTACCTCGCACCCAAATCGTTTTCTTCTTTAGTTAAGTCTTTAACAATGCGTATCCTGACAAATGGCCTCGGTGGTCTAGCGGTTAGAACGCTGGCCTTGTAATCCTGGGGTCTCGGGTTCGATTCCCGGCGGTGCCCGAATTTATAACTTGTGTTGGGCAAGGCCGTGGTCTAGGCAACACGGAGTTTTCCTCCGTGGCATCCCAACAATTACTCCATTCACACACAGAAGAAGGCAATGGCAAACCACTTCTGGATCATCTGCCAAGAACGTATATGAACAGGTCCCAGTCCGAGCAAAGGATGGAAGGATCCTGTTCATATGGACCTGTCGTCAGACAGAACACTAAAAAAAATCCTAACAAGGGAGCACCGAATAACACAACAATATACCGACTGGTTTCAACAATAACTGCGTCTGTACTCCAGTAGGAGAGATGATGGGTCTTGAGTTGAGAGACTGGGCTACTTGGCACGCGAAGTATCGTTTGAATTAATAAATTAGGCACGGTGACGTTAGTGAATCAACGGAACAACACTGCTAATGTCTTATGTTCAGACACAACACCACAGAGCACTCTAGAGGCATAATTAGCAACGACACATCAAAGAACATTCGTTTGAAGCCCAATTAGAATACAATCTAAACAGAATTCTCTGCGCTCCCTTGTGTATGTAGACAGACAAAAATGTTTTGTGAATTAGATCTTAATTTTACATTATATTTTAGAAATAATTATATAACTGAAGGCTATTGTTACCGAAACTTTCTGAATGGATGTGTTCAACTAGGAGTGTATTAATATGTAATTACTATCCATTTAACATTTCCCTTAATCTATTAACCATTCTCTTTAAATAGTATTTTATAGGAGTCTCGAATTTCATGTGTTATCTGCATTTTTTATACTTTGGTTATCTGTCATATTACTCGCGTCAATAAATGAATTCGTTTGACTGCTTCCGAAGTTGTTAGGCCGTGTAGTCTCGTAAAGTTTACCAAATATTCATAGGTGCTTGCTGCCTCAATCATCAGGGTAATCTGACCCATCGCCCTGATGATAATCTCCGGCAACATGTACCAGAATACACGGTGGAATATCCCAGAAGGCAGATATTTTCATACTCGTCGCCATGAGAATCTGAAATCTTACCACATATTATGCAATTTGCACATGGCGCTTTATATCTCCGCGTCTAGATTGCCACAAAATCAGAAAAATCCACCCCGGCAACATGGCACACAGTAAGCGTGTAATATGAATATTAAAGAGGACGCCGGAGGATAAGACGCGAGTATTAATGCGCCCAGGATGACAGCGAGACCCTCGGGTTAGTCGCCGTCGGTCTTAAGATTTACAAGTGGAAACGTATGGTCTGGAATTTTAAAAAGAACAAGCCGTCGCTTTGTTGTAAGTACAATATTTATAGACCGATCATGTGTCTGATTCTGTGTCCCTCTAACAACTTGGTAATCTTTAATTTTGTGACACTCGGTATGAATATCATGCCACGAGAGGCAACGTTAATGTTTCCCACTTTTAAACAGCTCCGTAATATACTGAGACAAAAAAAAATCTTATTGCCTCCAAAGATTTTAATATTTTCTTGCTTAGGGGCTAATAATATTCATCTGACAACTTGCATTCGAGACAATACCAGTGTTAAAATAAACATACATTATTTCCTTTAACATCATCATCAAACAGCATTTCAGATAGATCTTTATAACGGTGAAGTGTTGTGTTTTCTTTGCGGTACGGACTGAATTCTTAAACATTACTTAGACGTGCTTCAAAGGGTCATTTTATAATGGGAAATGACACCCTCATGTTCTGGAATGGTATTCTCCGCTCTTCGTAAACTGCAACTGGTGCGTGAATCTCGAGCGAACACACACACACACACACCTCGAATCATGTGTGTGCAATTTCGACTCTCGAAGTTTTATGAAGTAGCCATATATGTAGATGGTTCTGCTAGAGGCAACATCTTACTGCAGTTCCTTCGATTTGGATCGAAGTTGAGCTCAAAACTTTCGAGAGAATAGCAAAGGACCTAAGAGAGACATTACATGCGACAAAAGAGACTGGGAAACAGAACCGAATGAACTCCAGCACACAAGTTCACTTCAAAGCTATAACAGAAAGAAAGAAAGAAAGAAAGAATGAGCAGAGTGTACACATTTCTTTTTTGATCGGGATTTTTCAATGAGATTTTTTGCTTATAAGAGACGAGACCTGGTGTACGGCTCTTAGGAATCCTAACTTAGGACTATAAATGCTTATGAGGATTGTGGTTACAAATTCTAATTGGCAGATGATGATAGATATGCCGCAAAGAATCCGTAATCTCATTTTAAAAGGCGATATACATAATCGACTTGGTTACTTGTAACCTTTCATTCAATCCCGAAGCTGGAGGAACAGCCATTATCGGCTGACAGCAGCTGCATATTCAGAAAAGGCCATTTCTACTTTACTTCCAGTAGCTGGTTGGAAAATAACATAAAAATTTAAATTTTAAAATATTTAAACAAAGTTTTACATATTCAATATTAGAGACCAACTTATATGCAAATGTTACGACTGGATATCTGCTATACGAAACATTACACTACGTATGACGGGGATGAAAGCAATTAACTACGCACCGGGTATGTGACGAGCGCCAGGAAAATCATCCACGCGTGAAAACATTTCTAAGGACAGAAATCTCCTATGACGTCCTGGGCGCCCTGATGATGGAGGCACCAAGGGTCTCTGAAACGCCGGCAAACTTCTACCAGACTACACGGCCCTACAGCCCAGAAGACAGCCATCTTCGTACTCAACACCGTGAAAACCTCTAATTCCACATAGGATTCTGGCTATCCTAACTGAGACATATTGTGGTCCCTCTAAGGAAGCGCTGCGACAAAACCTTAAAACCCACCACGACCACTTCCTAATTTATGATTCACAATCGCACTACACCTGGCGTAATATTACTTATTTTATATATGAGATTCTGATGGCGATTAAGCTGTCTTATTGCGGTCATTACATGTTTCAAGGTCACAGCAAAATCGAACAACGTTGCAACACGAAAACAGCTCAGAAGTAGAAATGTAACTGGCAAAGCTGCACTGGTGACTTAGAGCCGCGCTGTAAGTGGGCCAAAGTCCTTCCGTGGCCTTGAACAATAAAATTCGGCGATGGAAACTCTCGTCACAATTGAATTCTGCCGACTTTTCACTCGACGACAAAAACATTTTTCTGTTCATGCACCACTGTCGATAAAAGTGTAGGATTGCGTTTACCTGCAGCTTTGACCACTGTATTCGGCCGATACAGCGGACGGAGTTGCGCCAGGCCATTTTTGCGCCAAACACGAGCTCCGTCTCTGTCAGCTGGTAGGTGCCGTTTAGCTGAACTTCCTTCTGCACCTGCTCCCATCGTGCGGCGTACGCAGGACTGTTCAGCCTGCAACATTGACGCACGCCTTCTTTGATTCTCTAAAGCACACATAAAATTAAACACCCTCCCAACCCATATCCCTAAAACCGATTTTAATATTATCCTCCATAGGAGTCTCGGTCTTCTGAGTGGCGTCACTCTTCAGGCCTTGTAAGACAGAATTTGTACGTATTTCTTATTTTCCCCTTGCACCCCAGTTCGCAGTTTTATGCACCGTCCTGTCTCTTCACTCCCTATTGGGTTCAAATTGTCTCCTCAGCATTCCATAAAAACACCCTATATCAGGGGCGGGGAACCTTTTCATGTTGGAAGTCCGCATTAATTTAGCTGTAATCAAATAAGGCCCGAATTCAAAAAACTTCAATTAGATATACTTAAAAAAATGTACATTATTTTGTAAAAATCTAACTACTATGTACTTAATAATTTCAGAAAATGAAAACTATTTGTTAATTTTAAAGTTAACTAATCTTTTAATGACTTTGTTGTGTCTGATTTTTATTGGAAAGCATTTGAATATTTGGTTGCAGCATGTATTAATAAAAATAAAAGGATTTGTTCTGCAAAATTTGGATTCAGTCAAAAGGCCGCACTTAAGGACCTGGAAGGCCACATGTCGCAGGTTCTCCACCCCTGCCATACACTGTAGTATTTAAGCATCTACAATTTCATTCCGATTAGGTCACTTGAAAACGAATTTCCAAGAATCACTGATTACTAACGTATCAAAATTAACATGACGTGTTACTAAAATCTATTAAACATATACTAGGCCTATAAAATCACACAGTCTCTGTTGAACGTAGTTACCCAGTTAAAGCAGTTAAAAACAACAATCAGCCATAAAACTCTCGTTACAACTTATCAGCATCGAAACTGATTAATCCACTTGAAGCACGTAGTAACACGTATAAACGTGACCTCATAAACCTCCCACATTCCCATAAAATCATTACCTGGGATTCACAGAATCCGACATCAGATACATTCACTTTAAAACCTTAAAATGATTTAAAATTTCCTCTTATGGAAGGGCGCATGCGCAAGCAGATGATGACAGAACATGACCGTCAAACGACAACTAATATACCATTAGCAGACCGGACAGCAGTGTCCAGATTATTATGGGAAACTTAAAGGTCATTAGTGTGTTCAGAAAAGCCAGATATTTGGCCTCAGCTAATTTACTTGAATCCTCTCTAGACCAGACAACATACACATTGTATCAATAGCCCCCTTCCATATATATATATAGACCCTTTTTCAGATAAAGTGATCTATATGTCTGCCACACCGAAGTAATACTCAGATTTCACGAAATCCCAAGCCGAGAAACTACACTTTACAAATTACGACTTCGTATTTCAAAAATGAATACAGCTTTCTCTAGAGATAAATTCGGCCGGAGCCTTTATAAGCCCACTAATCTGTATCTCCTACCAACATTCGATCTTGAATATGCAACGTTTTAAAAAATGCAAGGTTAGATTGGTCAGCATCTGAAGGTTAGATTTTTACGTAAATTACGACTAGAAATTAACGCAGAAGACAGAAATCTTGGTCTATTTGAAGCACAAACTTATCCAAACAATTTCCTTGTAGGATTAACAAAAACATTTCCAACCGGGATTCTAACCAAGTATCTTCCAATACTAATAAAAGCAATTAGACCCTGAAAAATAGTCGAATCCGTAGAATATTATCATCACAGTTAAGTAGACTGGATTTTCCTTCACTGCGGGGCGACACTTCTGCGCGTATGGTAAAATACAAGATACAGAATAATTTTGTAGAAGGCATGGTCAATTTATGTTCTGATGGAACATCATGGGGGAGAGGACTGCTTCTTAAAGACAAGTTTTCGAAGAAAACTTTAAAGATTATGCAAACAACACAACAAAAATGGCCTACATATAAAATTAGTTTACATTTTCGTGACGTATATAAGCAAAACCGGCTTCCTTAAAACGGCCATATCCTTTAGTCCCCCGTCTACTTTCGAGACTTCAGCTGACTTAATAACAAGAAAACAAAAGTCTGAAACGATGGAACATAAACAGAAAATTTTTCAAGTTTCTCTCCCCGAACGAGATGAAGTCTGCACCAGGCAACTCTAGTTCTCAATTGAACTTCGATTGGTTTCAGTCGAGTAAGTAACTGAAATTTTTACATAAACTCCAAGAAAAAACAGCGTAGGTAAACAGCATTCGACCACCTTTATGAAAGAACTATTTAAGGGTAGTTTACATACAAACTGCAGGCGTACGTAAACTACTTTGTGCCAGCTGTTGTTGATAAAGATTGTCATGTCCCCAAACGCTGACTATTGAACAATTTAATGCAATTTAACACAATGCACGTCATAATCAAGAGAGTCTGTATGCCAGAGAAGTTAATAATCACTGTTGATTTCATCTGTTCAGTAGAAGTGCGTATATGACGCTTATTAACCACCGAAATGTGCTAAATTACCAAAGGGGTAATTACCCCAGGTTCAAACCTGTTTATAGACAATTTAAAATTATGAGCTCGTAATGGCCTCATGGGACACACAGAGCATAGTAAGATCATTTATTTCATTTGTAGTGTTCTGTCTGACGACAGGTCCATATGAACAGGATCCTTCCATCCTTTTCTCGGACTGGGACCTGTTCATATACGTTCTTGGCAGATGATCCAGAAGTGGTTTGCCATTGCCTTCTTCTGTGTGTGAATGGAGTAATTGTTGGGATGCCACGGAGAAACCGGGGAAGCCCCCGGAGGAAAACTCCGTGTTGCCTAGACCACGGCCTTGCCCAACACAAGTTATAAATTCGGGCACCGCCGGGAATCGAACCCGAGACCCCAGGATTACAAGGCCAGCGTTCTAACCGCTAGACCACCGTAACCTAGTTTAATATAATTAAATATGAAAGCAGTTATAAGTAAGGGGAATTAACATAATTCTGTGTTCAGCTGGAAAGTTACGAGTGCCACACACGTCGATAAAATCTATGTTGCACACCCCTGTTTCATGTGTTACACTGCGTGATGATGCAACGCTGAAAATAAATTAATCCGTGCTACAGGATGCAGTGTCTTGATCGTCTAACAATCTGTTCGTTGTACAAAAGAAATATGGCGGCATACAGTCACGGCACGCTTAGCGCATGTAATTACGAACCGACTACAAAGGCAGCCTCTTCTTACACTTGTACCAACAGGGAAGAGATAGAACACACAATGCAAATTTAGGAATTAAGGACACGTCGAAAACTGAATAGTGTTTAATTCCTACAGAAGAGAGGTTGGTATAAAGGTGCAGCATAAACTATTCATTCGTCGTGCCATATTTGCATTTATCCCAACATTAAAACATGAACATACGGAAAAATATTTCATGTCGACGCTATATGACCTTCGTGGATAAAAGAAATTTACAAAATTACCCAGGAATAAATGATATAAATATTTCTGTATAAGTAATCTCACATTTACACTTGGCTTGAGTGGACGAATATTTATAAGCTATAAAATTGGATATTCTTCATGTAAAATAACGAAGTAGACGTGTGTATTTCGAGCAAATATTCCACACGCAGACTAATATTTGTAAATTTAAATTTCCTTGTTCTCTTTGTGGACTTTAATATAGATACAAACAATCCGGAAAATACTGTTTCTGGGATCCTGGTCGTGGAATCATCGCTTTAATGACAGAGATAATAAATTCCTCTGAAACGTCGGAAAACGTCTACCGGACTATACGGTGCAACATCCCAGAGGGCAGATACCTTCATGCTCATCGCCGTGAAAATATTAAATCTCACTCAAATCTCAAGTATATTATCGCTTTCACATGAATCCTTTACCGGTCCATACTCTACGCCAGATGTATCCAATCTCCCTGATTAATTTCTTCACTTTGTCCATCGCATGGTAACTTGAGAAGTACAGAACACAACGTTTCGGAAACAAAATCCGTTTCCGTCCTCAGGTAAAAAATATATATATATATATATTTTTTTTTTTTTTGAGTTCCTAGGTTTGTCAGAAACAGCTAATCTGAATCAATGGTCGAGGTATAGAAACCCAGTAGCTTTAATTTGAAGATGCAGTTATCGGAACGCTTTAAAGTCGATTACCTGTGGACATTGCTGTTTTTAGAATCACTAGTAGACCATCCTGACATTTCGACAAGGCCCTAACTTTTCAAGACAATATACTGCTTATGTAATGGCTGTAAGTGTTTCAACCCGAACAATCGGCTCGTTATCGTCGCCGAATACATGTTCTATCTGTCTCGCATCTCAGACACTGCTACTTCACTACGAGACTGTGGTGAGAGGCAGGAAAGTTGAAGTTTTTAAGAACTTCGTGAAAAGCCATTAATGTTGGACGGAAATGTGTACCGTACCTAACATCCACTGTTACATTCACGATGTAGGACAAAATGGAACGGAAGTTACGTTCTGTAGATAGAATAGATACAGGCCTAAATTATGCAAATTTCTTTTCATTTTTGTACGCGTTGGCATAAACTTACACAAGAAATTCTTCAAACTATGTCATCAAATTTTTTTTTATTTAAAGACACAGCATCTCAGAGGATAATAGCGTCTTATGATAAACAGGACAATCAATGAATAACAAATTGAAATGAACATAGAAGTAAGCAGCTGAGGACTCAACTTGGTGTACTGTCAGGAAATTGTCCTGGAGGGACTGAGGAAAAACGATACCTAAGGATCAAATCGAGCGTATTGGTATAGTGGTAACGTTTTACGTATTGTAGCGGATTCACGAATTGAAATCGCGTGGTCGGCCGGTGTGAAGCTCCTCGGCAAATCTATAAATAAATAAATAATAAAATAAAGTGAGAAACAATGCTATCTTTCCACGCGTTGCTACAAACACCTCGAATTATGTAAATTATTTTGGACATGACCGGAAAATCCAAAGTACCTTCTATGCCGCACACAAAAGAACCAAGGCAGCGGGGTAAGGAGACAGTCGACAGTTGATTG